TGATTTTTTAACCTTTACATTATTGCTTTGCTTAACCACTTCCCAACTGCCCCGTAGCAGAAATACTGCTACAGGGAGGCACGGGTTCACAAAATCACGTATATATACAGACACGTGATTTCCGGGTAGGGGACACGCTCTACCCGTGCCATCATTCGTGGCTGCGGCTGTCAATCACCGGGTCCCGGCCGGTGCACAGCACAGCCATACAGCCATACAAAGCAATGTGCTTACAATGAAACACAAACACACGGCCCCATAGTAAAACACACCCAGCACACAGTTAACCCTTTGATCGCCCCACATGTTAACCCCTTCCTGCCCAGTGCCATTAGTACAGTGTCAGTGTTTTTTTTTTTTAGCACTGATCACTGTAGTAGTGTCACTGGGGATGTGACACCAAGTAAATTCCCCCTAGTTTAAGAATGCCTGCCGCAGTCCCACTATAAGTCACTGATCGCCACCATTACTAGTAAAAATAAAAATTAAAAAAACAAATCCCAGTATATATACTGCCATTTGTAAACGCTATAACTTTCACGTAAACCAATTAATTTACACATATTGGGATTTTTTTTAGCAAAGACATGTTGCAGAATACATTTTGGCCTAAATTTATGACGAAATATAACACAGCGCATAACGCAAAAAATAGCCAGGTCAGGAAAGGGGGTAAATCCTCAGGAGGGAAGAATACAGCAGAACCTCAATCTGATTTATTACAAGTTACAAAAACATTTTTAAGATTGTTTTGCCTGTGACACCTGATGTTTTTTTTATCCTCCTGTAAAAGGCTGAATTGAACAGTGGCAGTAGCAGGACAACAGATCTAAAAAGCTACAGGAAAGTTTACTCTTAAAAAATAAAACTAGAGCCCTCAACTTCATACAAATTGGGCAGCGTATGAAAGCTTCTTTTTTGCAGTACCACACTGCTATGTCAACAAAGTTTAATTAAAGTGAAAATAAAAGTGAGTGCACAAAAACTATTCAACCCCACAATGCTTTACAATCCATGTATCCTTCATTATTTCCCAAGAGTACGGATTATAGACGCCACGTCAGACGTGGTATAAAACCCTCGTTGTTAAATTGTAAATTTTCATCTGGGTCCACTTTTTAAGCAATTCTATGTCTTTTTATTTTACTGCCAATTTTTTTTTATCACCTCACATAACTGGAGCTTCCGCTGTCTCTTGCCTTGCGTTTCCCTGGCCTTCAGGCTGGGGAGTAAGTGTGTCTTACAGATTTTAAATTATGTTTATTGGGTTTAATAACAAAAAAATCAGCATTTGTTTGATAGAAATTGGCTAGTACCAGGACAGTACACGGGCACTTGAATAGACAGCAAATTGAAAAAGACATTGCAGGTTTTCTCTTGCAACAAAAATTAGTGTATTATTTGAGAGACAATAGCCACAAATAATTTTCAGTGCTGGAGCACTGGAATAGGCCACAAACCTGGAGAGAAAAAGCTGGACTATCCTGCAACAAACATTAGACATTTGACAGCTGAGGTATAACTACAGAAACCTTGTGTTGCACCTTTATAGTGCCAAAGCACTAGAATAAGCTGCAAATTTTCAAGACAAACCAGGATTTACCGTGTAGCAAACATTGAAATTTGGAAGTTGGGGCAGGATTTAGCCTATGGCAAGCATTCTAAATTGGACAGCTGAGAACCAGCTGGAAAATTTGAGTGTCACCTTTAGGGCTTGTTTAAACTTGCAGTTGGGGGAGGGAAGGTGGTAAAAACACATGGTTGAGACACATTTTACCAACCCCCAAACTGCTCCCCCCCCCCCCCCCAAACTTTAAAGGCAGCTGTATGGGGGTATGCACATGCCGCAGCTGTCATGTTTTGCCAAAACTTAACCCCCATGTCTAAAAATACAAAATAATAAAACACAATACAACACAGAAGTTGTAGGGCAGCAGCTAAATAACAGCTGAAGTTGTGTGTGGTGACACATACTGCAGTTCACAGCAATGTAGCACACTACAGCACTGTATAGCGGCAGCTCTCTCCATACAAACACACTTGCCAGCAATCCCTCTGTACTCCAACACACCCTAATAAATTGCTGATGGGTAACCAGCCTGTTATAATTAGGGTAGACACATAAGAAGCCCCTATTATTGGCCCTTCTAAGTCATCTGATCTAAATGCATTATTGGTAGTCTGCTGCTTGGCTGGTGAGGTTGAGTTCACCTAGAATCCACGTTCAACCTGAACCTCATGCCTAAGTATAATTAAAACTCCAAAGCAATGGTAAAACATGAACAGGTTCTTGCATATTCTGCATAAATGTGTCATGTAAAATAACACAAGTAAAAAAATGGTTAACCAGGAAAGCATCCTTGTTCTTTTTGTTACATTATACAGGCTATGAAATGAAGCTTAAGACCTACTGACAGGTCAAGATGCACGACTAACAACTTCAGCATCTGTGCCCCGCCGGATTTAAAGGTGAGAAGCAATCACATGACCGCTGATCTCTGCGTTATCACAGTCAGCTCTCTGCTCTGCCCCCTTCCACCCCTGTGCTCACTGGAGCGATGGGCTGTGAAGTGGTAGGGAGCGGATGGCTCAGGCTCTCAGTGACTTGCTGAGAGGCTGAGCCAGGTGCCGCTCCAGACACTGGGATGGATCCCGACTTTAAAGTCGGAATCTTTGCCCAACCTGGACCGGCTGAGTGATGTCAGCCAACAGCAGGCTTCAGCCCACCGTCAGCTGAAAATGGGTCACAGGAGTACAGAACGAACTGCACTCCTGTGATGCACAGGAGAAAGTACAGCAAAAAGAGCTTTGGATGTACTTCTCCTTTAAGAAACACGGCCATCACTTTGAGCTAAATGAGCTGCATGGTATCCACTCTTTGCTGATTTAGCACATTTGCATAGAATGTCCTTTTTAACATCCAACCATCAGTTTTAAATTAAGCATTGCATACTTACTAGCTTACAAAGGATTTTTATAGCTCTGTTAGTTTGAGATTATGTTTTATTATTGCCATTATTTATTTATTTATTGCAGGTATTTACATAGCTCCAACAAATTATACATTGCTTTATATAATGTACATTCACATCAGTCCTTGCCCTTATAGTCTAGTGTCCCATGCACACACATACTACGGCCAATTTTGACAGGAGTCAATTATCCAACCACTATGTCTTTGGAGTGTGGTGAAAAAAGCTAGAGTACCCCGAGGAAATCCACACATCCACAGGAAGAACCTACACACTTTATGCAGATGGTGTCCTGGCTGGGATTCAAACTGAAGACCCCAGTGCTGCAACGCAGAAGTGCCACTGTGCCCAGATTAATCTTTTTAGTGACATGTCTTTGGTGGGTTAACTGGGGAGGTTCACTTTCTCTTTTTAACCTGTTTACCATTGCCATTGGGACAAAAAGTGATGGAGAATCCAAAATACAATGGAGCAAAAACCTTCTAGTGGAGACTATGACCATTATATTTCTTTCACTTCCAGTTGTGTCTTCAGGACAGCAACTAACAAGGTTTCTAAATATATCCCCTCAAAGTGTAAAACCTGTATTGAGAAAATAGGTTTCCATTACTAAGCTCTTGTAGCTGCCTACCTGTTCTGTTGATCCAAAGACTTCTGTTTTTTTAATCACTGACCTGGAACAATTGTATAAATCTTCTGTTCCAATTTGTCTCTGATTTTACTAACTGTGCTTTCACTTTGGGACAGTGACCAAGAACATACTGAGTTTAGAGGGCATCTAGCTTTTAATCAGATCACAATGTTACCTTCTGTATTTTCCATATTACATTTAATATTTAATCACAACTTTTACTTAACCTGATAACCTGAAAACTGGTAACCAATCTCCCCACTTTTGAAAGTGGACAAAAGTGTAACTCGAACTGGCAACCCAAATCCAGGCAGGCTTCCAAGTGAAAATGTGAACAACATGGCCAGCACCTAATCAGAGATCAGCAAAGCGATGTCTGTAAAAGATACAGAGACAGGTTGTCGGAGCAAATTAATCCTTGTACGCAGTCTTGAAGGGTTGTTTCTCACCTGGGGGCAAGGAGTATCATGTGAATCCAGAGATATCTCTGTGTGTCTGGATATGTGTGTTTCATAACAAATATTACGTAGATATTTATAATATACATACTGGAATAACTTGATTTTCTGCTACTTGTATTGTGGGTTTTATAGGCATCTGTTTTACTACCTGAGAGGGCAAGGTGCATGCTTGAAAAACTGAGCATTTGAGAAAAACTGTACTCTGCCATCCAAATAACTGAGCCCTCCAAGTTAAAAAAGAAAGTTGATCATTAAAGCAGTAGTAAAGTGTCTCCCCCAAAAAATAAAAACGTCCCCCCTGCAAGGTAATGTCATAATGTGCTATATTATGAGAGACTTACCTTAAAACGAAGCCCTCCAGCGGTGAGCTGTCACTGTTGACAGGGCTTACATCTTCATCTTGTCTTCCTTCCAGGTTCGCAGCCCCAGCTGTTTGAATGTCTGAGCCACGATGACGTCACTCCCAAGCATGTGCACAGGACCCACGGCCGCAGCACAGTGCTCTGGGGTGAAGACATGCCTCCGGCTGCTGAAGTATTGAATATCTCCTAAAAGGTGCACATTTAGGAAATATTTCTTGTACCAGCAGATAAGCTTTATTATAAGTTTACCTGTAGGTACAAGTGAGCAAGCAGTGTTTACTAACGCTTTAACCACTTGCCAACTGCAGCTGGCCAGTTTTGGGAGGGCCCCTGGGGGCGCGCACACACCGGCTATCTATGTGATCGCTGTGTCCTACAGACACAGCTGATCATGTGATGTGGTAAAAAGCCAATCACAGCAGCCTTTTACCACATGATCAGCCGTGTCCAATGACACATCAGATAACTGGTAAATGCAGTTGCCGGTCATTGGCTGCACTTTCCTCACGCTGTCACAGTGTGAAGAAAGTATTGCCGATAACCGGCAATTGTCAGAAGACGGATTGGCACCGATCATCAGGGCACTGATGATCAGTGCCACCCACCAGTGCCACCCACCTGTGCCCGGCAGTGCCACACACCAGTGCCCAGCAGTGCCACCCATCAGTGTCGCCCATCAGTGCTGCCCAGCAGTGCCGCCAGTCAGTGCCGCCAGTCAGTGCCGCCCAGCAGTTCCACTAGTCAGTGCCACCCATCAGTGCTGCCCATCAGTGCCGCCTATCAGCGCCACCTATCAGTGCCCATCATTGTTGCATATCAGTGCAGCGTCATCAGTGTCGCCTCATCAGTGCCAGCTCATCAGTGCCACCTATCAGTGCCGCCTATGTCCATCAGTGCTGCCTATCCGTGCCACCTCATCAGTGCCACCTATCAGTGCCCATCAGTGCTGCCTCATCAATGCACATCAGTGAAGGAGAAAAATTACCTGTTTGCAAAATTTATAATATAAACAAAGAAAACCTTTTTTTTTTCAAAATTTTTGCTCTTTTTTTGTTTATAGCACAAAAAAATAAAACACCCAGCGGCGAGAAAAATCCCACCAAATGAGAGCTCTATTTGTGTGAAAAGAATGCTAAAAATGTCTTATGGATGCAGTGTTGCATGACCGTGCAATTGTCACTCAAATTGCGACAGCACTGAAAGCTGAAAATTGGCCTGGGCAGGAAGGGGGTATAAGTGCCCGGTAGGCAAGTGGTTAAAGGGAAAGAGTATTGTAAAAATGGCTGTCCCCTTGTACATTCTGTATTAAAAACTAGCAAAAGTATGCCTGATGGTACACATGACAGATTGGAGTTGTATAATAAGGAGAGACACTAGCGAGGGACATGTTGAAAAAGTGTATATTTTTTTTCAGTGCAGAAAAGAAAAAATCTGTACATGCTAAACAAATATACTATTTATACATAGTATACTATTATGCTACGCATTAACTACAGTGCATCCAGAAAGTATTCACAGCGCTTAACTTTTGCCACATTTTGTTATGTTACAGCCTGATTCCAAAATGGATTAAATTCATTTTTTCCTCAACATTCTACAAACAATACCCCATAATGACAATGTTAAAGAAGTTTATTTTGAAATCTTTGCAATTTATTAAAAATAAAAAAAACAAATAAAAAAAAACACAAATGTACATAAGTATTCACAGCCTTTGTTCAATACTTTGTTGAAGCACCTTTATCACCAATTACAGACTCAAGTCGTTTTGAGTATGATGCTACAAGCTTGGCACACCTATTTTTGGGCAATTTCTCCCATTCTTCTTTGCAGTACCTCTCGAGCTCCATCAGCTTGGATGGAAGTGTTGGTGCACAGCCCGCCATTTTCAGATCTCTCCAGAGATGTTCAATCGGGTTCAGTTCTGGGCTCTGGCTGGGCCACTCCAGGACATTCACAGAGTTGGCCCGTAGCCACTCTCCTTTGTTATGTGGGCTGTGTGCTTAGGGTCATTGTCCTGTTGAAAAATGAACCATCGCCTCAGTCTAAGGTCCAGAGCGCTCTGGAACAGGCTTTCATCAAAGATGTCTCTGTACATTGCTGCATTCATCTTTCCTCTGATTCTGACTAGTCTGCCACATCCCCACAGTATGATGCTGCCACCACCACCATGGTTCACTGTAGGGATGGTATTGGCCAGGTGGTGAGCGGTGCCTGCTTTCCTCCAGACATGACACTTGACATTCAGGCCAGAGAGTTCAATCTTTGTTTCATCAGACCAGAGAGTTTTTTCTCTCATGGTCTGAGAGTTCCTCAGGTGCCTTTTGACAAACTCCAGGCGAGCTGCCATTTGCCTTTTACTGAGGAGTGGCTTCTGTCTGGCCACTCTTCCATACAGGCCTGATTGGTGGAGTGCTGCAGAGATGGTTGTTCTTCTGGAAGGTTCTCCTCTCTCCACAGAGAAACGCAGCAGCTCTTTCAGAGTGACCATCGGGTGCTTGGTTACCTCCATGGCTAAGTCCCTTCTAGCGGCCCGCTCTAGGAAGATTCCTGGTGTTCCAAACTTCTTCCATTTATGGATAATGGAGGCCACTGTGCTCATTGGGACCTTCAATGCTGCAAAAAATTTTCTGTACCCTTCCCCAGATCTGTGCTTTGATACAATCCTGTTTCGGAGGTTACGGACAATTCCTTCGACTTCATGGCTTTGTTTGTGCTCTGACATGCACTGTTAACTGTGGGACCTTTATATAGACAGGTGTATGCCTTTCCTAATCAGGTCCAATCAGCTGAATTTCCCACAGGTGGACTCCAATCAAGTTGTGGAAACATCTCAAGGATGATCAGTGGGAACAGGATGCACCAGAGCTCAATTTTGAGTGTCATGGCAAAGGCTGTAAATACTTATGTACATGTGTTTTTTTTTGTTTTTTATTTTTAATAAACTGCAAAGATTTCAAAATGAACTTCTTTCACATTGTCATTATGGAATATTGTTTGTTGAAAGTTGAGGAAAAAAATAAATTTAATCCATTTTGGAATAAGGCTGTAACATAACAAAATGTGGCAAAAGTTAAGCGCTGTGAATACTTACTGGATGTACTGTATGTTACCTGGGTATCTAAATATGTGAAATGTGTCCTGTAGAAAACATAAAAGCGCAATGTGATATACATTATAAAAAGTTATATGTGTTCATTGTGTCCCTAGAGCATCAGAAGGAAGAGGGACATATATCTTGTAGTTGAAGAGGAGCCACCACTGATCTGACAGGAGGTGGAGGTTCGCTTGCCCGCTGCTCAGAATAACGCTGATTCCCTGAAGAAATAGGTTGAACTGAACAACTCTCTGTATATGATCCATATATAAAATGCTATGCCATACAAATAAAATTGGAGTGAGCCACAAGAGTCGGCACACAGAGGCACAATCAATATTATGTATAAAATGTAATACTTGTACAACGTGCATTTGTTGATTTTAAAGGCTAAATGTTCACCTTTTAGAACATGTTACAAGTTCTACCTATATTTAGGCTGGAACGTGTAACATGTTTCAGTTCCTGCACCCTCTCCTCCTGATCCCCTCTTCACTGTGATAGCGGGCTGGGGATCTTCTCCTCGCACCCGCTGTCACAATTCAAAAATGGCATGGCTGTTCGGGGCTCTGCTCACATGGCCGCGTCAGCTGCAGTGGCTGACTGTAGTTGTAGTGTATTCATTCACAGGAAACTATACTAGGAAATATACAACAACTATCATCAGCCACCGTGGCTGACGATTCGTGGTTCTGAGTGAACTGTTAAGGATCTGATGAGCACCCTTTAGGTCATTCAAAAGCCCTGCAGCTTTGTAACTGACAACCCGTATGAAGATACGGCAGAAAGCTGCAAGGCTTATCTGCAGAAGCCTGACATTGCACCCCTGATCCACTGTTAATGGGTGCCTTGCTTTCCAGGCTATTGCAGAAAAAAATAATAAATGCACATTTTTTTCTGCAAAAATATGTGCACTTACTATTTTTTTATTAAAAGGTAAACTTATCCTTTAACAATTGTGTATTGTATATTATAAAGAAAAGTTTTTTAAACTATAACAAAAATTATGTCATTATTGAGGGCATGTACCTAGAATTCCCTATTTGTAGTCTTTTTGGGATGTGGGTGCTAATTGATACCTCTCAGTCCAAGGTTTTTATAAATCTAAGTACTACTAAATTACCCAATCAAGTGGACAAACCCATATTTATCATGCACCACCGGCGTAACTAGTACCAGGCACCCGGGACATGTGCCCTGCATTTGGTTGTAAGTTAGGTTACTTTGTTGTGGCAAGTGACCTTAATCTTTCACCTCCATTGTTAGATGGTTCTAAAAGCAGTGTTCATAGCATCATTTAACATTTTTTAATTTTCCTTTTTCTGGTCTTTTCTTTTTTGTTCTGTTGTTAATACTTTGGAAATACACAAGTGGTAAAATAAAATTATAAGGTATGTACCTCATGGACAGTCAGGCAACTAGCATTATCAAAAAGAGGTCAACAATTACAGCCTATATATTTCTCTAAGTACAAGTTTTCTTTAATATAGGCACACAATATATTTTGTTTCTCAAAATTATCCAGTGTTGTTTACTGCATGGTTAGAGTGTAATGCATTGTTTAGTTAATTTACAATGAACATTCGGCAGTAAACATTTCAAAGAATGATATTTCACAGTGTTATTGCCATAAAACAGAGAACTCTAGAAATATGGCATTGTTTAGAACTTAAATTACATACATATGTTCTCAGTACCGCATGCTGTAACATATCATAGCACAGTACTCAGTTAATTCTAGAAACATTTTGGACTGATTATTTCCTATTAAGGCTTACAGCTTATGTCAAGGCAAAAAAAAATACATCTCTGCAATATATATACATTTCCCCACTTTTTATTCCTTTAAACTCAATGCAAGTACAGAAAATTTACTGTTGATGTGCCAGCAATACACATATCAGCCATAACATTATTACCACCAACCATAACCCATCAAGGTATGGACTCCACTAGACCTCTGAAGGTATGCTGTAGTATCTAGCACCAAGCCATCAGCAGCAGATCCTTTAATGCAGCCCATAGACGGTTCATTTATTGGCCGATTTGCCGTCCGAAAGAATAATCGGACGATTTTCACACTGTTAGTGGGGCAATGGCATCGGCCGATTTTCGCGGTTCTTCCTCATTTCTTTTATCAGTCATGCTGGAAAATTTGTGAAAAACATTTTTCACAATCATTGGTGGCAACAGAACGTCCGATGTTTCGTTTTTCGGACGAAAAATCGGCCGATAAACGAAACGTCTATGGCCTGCATAAGTCCTGTAAGTTTAGAGATGAGGTCTCCCTGGTTCAGACTTGTTTTTCCAGCACTTTCAGCACTTTTCACAGATACTCAATTGGATTGAGGTCTGGAGAAATTGCAAGCCAGGTCAACACCTCAAACCTGTTCTAGTGTTTCTCAAACCATTCTTGAGTTCATCAGACCAGGCTACATTCTTCCATTGCTCCTGTGGTTCAATTATAATGCTCATTTGCCCATTGCAGATGCTTTTGGCTGTAGACACGGGTCAGCATGGGTACCCTGGGTTTGCAGCTACATAGCCCCATACACAACAAACTACAGTGCGCTCTGTGTTCTGACAACTTTCTAATGGAATCAGCATTAACGTTTTCAGCAATTTGAGCTTCTATTGGATCAGACTACACGGGACAGCCTTCTCTCCCCATGTGCATGAATGAGCCTTGATTGACCATGACCCTGTCACTGGTTTGCTCAGTTTCCTTTCTTGGACCACTTTTGGTAGGTCTTGACCACTACAGCCTGGGAACATCCCATGCTCTCATGCATCCCATGGGCAGCACAGTGGATAAATGGTTAGCACTTCCGCCTGGCAGTACCAGGGCCATTGGTTTGAATCCCAATCATGGCACCACCTGCCTGGAGTTTGCATATTCTCTCTGTGCCTGTGTGGGTTTCCTCCGAGTACTCCGGTTTCTTCCCACACTTCAAAGACATGCTGGTAGGTTAATTGAATCCTGTCTAAATTGGCCCTAGTATGTGCATGTATGAATGTAAGTTAGAGACCTTAGATTGTACACCCCTTGAGGGTTAGGGGCTGATGTGAATGGGCAACATATATGTAATGCACTGCATAAATTGACAGCACTATATAAGTACCAGTAATAAATAAAAAAAAATATAAAATAAATGCTCTGACCCAGTTGTATAGCCTTTAACATTTGGCCCTTACTAAAGCCACTCAAATCCCTGTGCTTGCCCAAGTTTCTGCTTTCAACATATGAACTTCCAGGACAACATGTTCACTTGCTGCCTAATATATCCCATCCATTTTCAGATGCCATTGTAAGGAGATAATCAATATTATTCACTTTACCTGTTAGTGGTCATAATGTTATGACTGCTTGGTGTATAATGTGCTGTTACCTTCCTCTTTTGTATTTTCTACCTACTTAATTTCTGATGTATTACAAAGAACATAGACCTCTCTTCATATCCCCTTCCCTCCTCATCTACAATGTGAGACTGCAGCTTTCACCCTGGCTGGGGTTTAGCAGCTGCCACATTGTCTGAGTTTTGTTTCTGCATGAAGGTACTGACTGCTTCCCCCATGTTGGGTTGCAGAATCTCTCTTGTTGGTACTTTTTTTACATTTTGTGTGTCTGCTGGTAGCTAGGTAGCACCTACCTTACAGGCTGCAGATCAGGATGCAAGAATGTGCTTGAGAAAAGCTGCAGTGCAGGGTGCAAAGTGAATGGAATGCCACCCCTTCTAGCATGTTATTAAAGGGGGGATGTACTAAAAGAAAGGGGGGGGGGAGTCTGCTATTAATTACAATTTGCTGATTTCTAGGGAGATCAAAGATTAATGTAGAAAGGTAATTCAATGTGCTGTTTAAAGGTGATCCACTGAAAGGAGGTGGAGTTTCTGATGTGAATTACAAGTGGCTGAGTTGCTAGGGATTAAAGGGTGCTGTTGTGGGGATTGAGGTTTACTGGGAAAAGTTAATGAAGAGGTGAATGGTACTGGGTTATAGTCTGATTACCTGGCAGAAAATTACCAGTTACAGAATCGGTAGGCTAAGTCAAGAGACAAATGAAGCCATTTTAATACATTAAAAATTAATATGGATACACATTATGCATTTCCATATTTTTATTGTAGGGGTATTTTTAAGAATAGTTTTTTACTGTTGGGGCATGGTAGCTTTTTGAAAGGATTTACCAGGCCCTGTTCAAAAGTTAGACCCACTTTTATCATATATAGCAAAATACTTTTAATATTTTATTTCGCAGACCAAAAGGAAACAAATAAGAGAAGTGTATTGTTGAGCGCATATATTGGTCGTTTTGTACACAATACAATGTTTTTGTACTTTTTGCACAGTCTTGGGAAGATAAGTGTGCTGCTTTTTCTCCTCCCCCAGCTCTTATGCAGCTGAGAACAGAGGGTATGTGGTCACTTATAAAAAAGGGGGGAAAATGCTTATAATTTTTTTATATCCATACACAAATATTTTGCCTTTCATTTCTACTTTAAACTGAATGGGTTGTTTTACAAGGTGAGGGTTTACAATCACTTCAACAGACCTAACAGGTGCAAATAAGAGAAGTTTACTGTTGGGGTTTGCATATACTTTAACCACTTGCCATCTGGCCACTGTATATAAACAGCTGGACAGTGGCAGTCCAGGGGCGGGTTGACATTCATAAACGGCGCTCGCCATTTTGGACAGCACCGCGATCCGGTGCCCGCTGTGTCCTCCGGACACAGTGGAACACCGATCATCCTACGGGACCTCTGTGTGAGGTCCTGATCATGTGATCACTGATTGGCCAATCAGTGATCACATGCTGAGTAGTAAGCAAGATGTCACTTCTGACATCATTGCTTACTATGTGTGAAATCTGTGAATGATCACAGAGATCACATGGTACAAGGCTATTCAGAACAGCCTTGTACCATATGACAAGCTGTGACCAATCACAGCTCACACAGTAGTTCTCAATCAGCCCGAGAAAAGGAGAAATGATTGCTTTTACAGCCTTTATGGGTGTAAAAGCAATCGGTGTAAAAAAAAAAAAATCTTCATCACCCCCCACAAGTATTACAGTGTCACCATGGTGATACTGTACTGCTAGGGTGACAGTATGTAAAAAACAAAAAAAACAAAAACATAAATAATAATAATTTTTTTTTTAAAAAATGATAATTTTAGGTTATAATCTAATTTGGGTTATTTTTTTTACTAAAAAGATAACTGAATAAATTTTGGCCAAGATGTATGATGAAATATTATTTATTTGCAAAATGTTATAAGAAAAACACTTTTTTTCAAAATTTTTGGACATTTCCATTTATATAGCAAAAAAAATAAAAATCCTAGTGGTGAATAAATACCACCAAAATAAAGCAGTTCCTGCTGTCCTAAAGTCCAGAGCCAGTCTATCAGTGTGATGATGTCAGGAACAGTCCACCGCTCAAGACCACTAGCATGGGGGGGGTTGGGGCAGGAGCAGCAAGGACCGGTCTTGTGCTTGGAGGATCAGCGGATTATGTAAGTATATCTCTGCTCTAGCCACCCCTAGAAAAAAATGAGCAGTTAACCAATGCAATGTGGGCACAGACCCATGGCATGGGAAAAAAGTTCTGGAATAGACTTGTATCACTCTTCTACCCCTTCCTGCACATTCTATTCACAGAACTCACACTATTATTGCCCTAACACATTCTGTGAATGGGCAAAAGGAAATCTTGTCATTCGTCTGCTCCTCCTCCGATCACAGAAGGAGTTGCAATGCAAGGCAATAGTAGTACGAGTCCTGTGCATGACAGTGGCGGCAGGAAGGTGAGTAGCGCAAGTCCTTCTTACTCGCAGCCGCTGCTGTTAAATCCCGCAGCATTGGAAATGGGCAGTATCCAGCATTAACTGGTGGACTGAAGGAGGATTTTTACATGAAGCAACAGCCTGCAGGACATGGGATACAAACCATTAGGTCAGCCACAAATTATTCAAATCTCAGCCGGTTCAGCAGGGACTGCCCGAGATTCGAACAATTTAGGGGCACGTTGATTGTACCCAAGTCGATCCATCAATCAACTTGGATACAACAAGGGTGAATCTCCCTATGACCCCTTTCACATGGGTGAACCAATCGGGTCCGTCTGCGTTTTTCAAGCGGACCCGATCAGACCATCAATTGCCTTCTATGGAGCGGCGGATGTAAACAGATATATTCTCCTGATGATGTCATCTTTGACAAAACAAGTATGGCAGAGATGGCACACACACCCACTACGCATAAGTAATTCCACTGCAGCCATCTTGGATTCTGGAATATGAGTTGTTTATATGAAGTGCCTGATTGTCATCTTTTCATTGTAAGTGCATTTACCACATTAAATTGGTGTTTTAATCTGGATTACACTATGAAGAGCCTGTCTTTTTCTTTTTCATGATACTATGTCCAACTGGATATACAGTTGTGTTCAAAATAATAGCAGTCAGACATCACTAACCTGATCAATCACTGTTTTTGGTAGAAATGATATTTCTACATGGCAAATAATTTACTAGCAGGTGTAGTAGAGTAATAGAAATCCAACAGACCCAACAGTCATGACATGCATGCTGCTGATTCTGTGTAATTGAATCACTAATTGAAAGGGGCATGTTCAAAATAATAGCAGTGTGGAGTTCTATTAGTGAGGTCATTCATTCTTTGAAAAACAGGTGGCAATTATTGCCCTTATTTAAGGAAGGAAGGCAGGAAATGTTCTACATGCTGGTTACAGTGCATTTCTCTCTGAAATTCTGAGGAAAATGGGTCGTTCCAGACATTGTTCAGAAGAACAGCGCACCTTGATTAAAAAGTTGATTGGAGAGGGGAAAACATATAAAGAAGTGCAGAAAATGATAGGTTGCTCAGCTAAAATGATCGCAAATGCTTTAAAATGGCAACCAAAACCTAAAAGACGTGGAAGAAAGTGAAAAACTACCATTCGAATTAATAAAAGAATAGCCAAAATGGCAAGGACTCAGCCAACAATCAGCTCCAGGAAGATCAAAGAAGGTCTAAAGTTCCCTGTGAGTACTGTTACAATTAGAAGACGCCTGTGTGAAGCCAAGCTATCTGCAAGAAGCCCCCGCAAAGTCCCACTGTTGAAAAAAAGACGTGCTGAAGAGGTTACAATTTGCCAAAGAGCACATTGACTGGCTTAAAGAGAAATGGCGCAACATTTTGTGGACTGATGAAAGTAAGATTGCTCTTTTTGGGTCTAGTGGCCGGAGACAGTTTGTCAGACGACCCCCAAACACTGAATTCAAGCCACAGTACACTGTGAAGACAGTGAAGCATGGTTGCGCAAGCATCATGATATGGGGATGTTTCTCATACTACGGTGTTGGGCCTATTTATCGCATACCAGGGATCATGGATCAGTTTGAATACATCAGAATACTTGAAGAGGTCATGCTGCCTTATGCTGAAGAGGAAATACCCTTGAAAAGGGTGTTCCAACAAGACAACGACCCCAAACACACCAGTAAACATGCAACATCTTGGTTCCAGACCAACAAGATTGACGTTATGGAGTGGCCAGCCCAATCCCCGGATCTTAATCCAATAGAAAACTTGTGGGGTGACATCAAAAATGCAGTTTCTGAGGCAAAACCAAGAAATAGAGAAGAACTGTGGAATGTAGTCCAATCATCCTGGGCTGGAATACCTGTTCACAGGTGCCAGAAGTTGGTTGACTCCATGCAACACAGATGTACAGCAGTTCTCAGAAACAGTGCTTATACAACTAAATATTAATTAAGTGATTCAAAGGAAAGCAAAATCTTCAAACATTTTTCAGTTTATATAGTGAATGTTTGAGTTTGTAAAGAAGAATACAAACACTGCTATTTTTTTGAACAGTCTAATATTTACTTTTCTTCAATTTGTTTAGAGGAACACAAATTTGATATATTTTTCTTCATGTTTTGATTTGGAATAGAATGTGTAGTGTTCCTAATGCATTTGTGTGTATGGAAATAAAAGCCAATAGAAGGATTTTGAGCTTTATTCACTTTTTTCAACACACTGCTATTATTTTGAACACAACTGTATATGCAGAGTGATCTAATGCAGCAGTACCATTGTTTGACATTTTGTTTTGAGGAAAGCTGGATATCTTGGATTGATACACAAGTGCTGATTAAACACTCTTATTTGGGAGTCATACGATTCTGGTAAGCCTCCCTTTGTTGTACACTAAGGTGCTGTGTGGTTCATCATTAAGAAGTTTTGGTGGCATTTGGTATCCACATATATCATTTCCCACATAATTGAAGAATCACTGAATTCAGTTTTTGGCTTCACATTTCGATTCCTTTATTTTTTCAATTTTTGGTGACATAACAGTTTGATATATTTGCATTGCACTATTGTATTGCACATACATTTAATTTATCTTATCACTGCACTTTTGTTTTGTTATATGTCTGTTTACACCTACCTGCATCCCATCTGTTCTGATTGGATTGGATGACAGTCAGATGTAAATGGACAGGCCATCTGTTTACATCTGACCATCCACAGAGGAAAGTGGGCTGTGTCCGTGTCCACTCTGCATAAGAGGAGCAGACATGGACCTGTCATCAGCCTGCTCAGCGGTGATCAGCAGACAGATCCCCCACTGAGCAGGTGGATCCTCTGGTGGAGTCCGCCCATGTGAAAGGGGCCTAACGGAGACACAAACAACACTTAAAACTCACAGGTGTTCTAATCCCTCTCCACTCTACCCAAAACTAAATAAACATTGCCCTTAGATACCCTTTAAGCTTAGTACACAGCTATTATTGACTTGACCTAAAGAATCACTGTAGGATTCATAAACTGAAAACCATAAAGGAGTACGTGTAATGTATAATTTATACTTACCCCTGCTGCAGGGGTGGACTGACAACTCATGGGGCCCTCGGGCAATAGGGGATCATGGGGCCCCTGTGTCTTTGCCCAAACTCAAAAAAGCCTATGAAAAAGGTACCAGGGGCATCTCATGGGGCTCCCTACTGACCTTGGGCCCTTGGGCAGTGCCCGAGTTTCCAAATGGTCAGTCTGCCCCTGCCCTGCTGTGTCCTTGTGGAAGACAATAGGCTCTGTAAAATCAAAGATGTACTCAGCAATATAAATTTTTTTCTTTTATTTCTTTTATAATTTATAACAATGAATGACTACACTTGTGAAGCAAAGCAATGTGTTGTATTGGTGCTGCAACAGTGTATGATTATCTGTAGAATAAATGATATAGTAGGCGAATGTGATGCATTGCAGTTGGTCCTGCTTTTTAGTCTCATAAATACATTACAGAGATGTGAGATATGAATTTGCCTGTGTGGCCAGTGTGGGAGAGACTAGCAGATATATGATAGAATACAGAGCTATAGAGATATTAAGCAGCTGTCATCCTCTCTGGTGAAGATGTGATACAGGCAGCCTAGACACCTTCTTAAAAAACATGATCTGGAGAAGGAGGCAGCCTCTGTGTCCAACACTACAGAAAATGTTTATATGGATTAAAAGATAAATCTTCATGAATCATTTACATGTATCACCTTGAAAGGATGCAACTCTTCCAAAGAACTGTTTGTTTAAATCTGTGCTGGTTTACTTTACTTAGACAACAATCTAAGGTATATTGCTTGTATCCATTTTGTTAGTAGCAATATCTACTACAACACCTTCTAGACCAGGGATGTCAACCTCAATTTCACAGGCCACTTCAGTATTATGGTTGCCGTCAAAGGACCAGTTGTATCTGTAAGACAAACTAAATGTATCTACTCTTTATCATATTAAATACTGCCTCTTTACTCATTCCTACGAATGTAAATGTAAAGACTACAGATGACTGAAATGATCAAAAGCATTCATACAGGTCTGTGGATAGTCACCGAGCAGCAATCATGCATAATAAGCACCTAATTAGGGCAGCTTTAAATATGACTGTGATACTCAGCTCCTTCTAGACATTTGATTATTATTGATTA